AGTTCTTTTAAAATATGAGTCACATGATCATGCTTTAGTTTCTTAGTAATTATTTTGGCAGCAATATCCTTGTCTGCCAAATCTATACATGACATAGATCGAGGCAAACAGGGTTCTACAACACATATTTAAAAATTGGCCTGCGTTAGTTTTTTCTTGACAAAATAACACTAGAATACGTCATATTCCACTAGCCTAATGTAAATCCAGAAAAAAAGTTTCTCTATAAAGAAGGGACAAAATAATGCTTGATATCACATCAAAACCAGAAAAGATCACTCGTGACTTGGTTCCTGGCATGATCATGAATAAAACAGAACATCTGACCCATTGTTTTGAGCAAAGACGGCGTTGTTGTTGCTGCAGCTTTTGTTGTTGTGATTACAATGTTAGGCCAAAATGAACTCTTTTGCGATTTTGTTTCTGAACATGGGTGTGGGGGAATGGAACTGGCCGGCGTTTCCTTCTGTACCACAAGCCACAGCACATAGGTGATATAAGGGAAATAGTTCAAAAGCATAGTTGTCTCTTTTTTCTCCCGATGCTTCAGTGGACACATGCGACAGATTATTCACTTTAAATGTTTTACTTTTATTTTACTCTTTCTTTAGCTTCTTATCATTTACATAAAAACCATGTTATGTTGATGTGGATTCACATTCAGACAAGGAGTGCTGTTAGCTCAGTTGGTACCATACTGAACTGTTATGCGAATGGCCAAAGTTCGAATCTCTAATCGGCCGTTCTTGGATTTGAGGTTTCGTTTTACGGAGTTTTCAAGGCTTCCCACACTCTCTTGGTATCGCCCATTCTTAGATGGACGTTGTAATCGAGAGTCAAACCTTTTGTACACTAACCACATACTATATACTGCTATCAAATTTAACAGGGCAAAGAACCACATGGGCATATCCCGAAAAGGAGAGCGGGGACGATTACGCAAGAATTGGTATCCGGGCGTCCAATGAGTCTGCGTGCGTCCGGTCGGATCAAAGTACCGGTACTCATTATCTTGATTCTACATTTAAAATAAAACAACCTTGCTATAAATAAGGCTACAGAGCTACATACTTCTATTCACCAGGCAAATGAATTGCCTCAGTTTGTTATCTTTAAAAAATGACTGAGAGTGCCGAGCGTCAGAATAAGCTTCCAGATATGGAGTAAATAAGGGCGTTGCCTGTCTGATCTACATAATTGTTTTTATCTTGGTTTTACAAAAATACAAAGATAGAGGTTGTCGACCAAGTTAGGTCAGAATAAGACGTGTCAGGGCTGATCACGTTCTCTTGATTTTGATTCTGCATAATGTTGTCATAGAGCAAGGCTACAGAACCACAGGGTAGTGTTATCGTCAAAATTATTACAATTTCTTGAACTACTCTAGATACTTGATCTGGGTATCAATGCTGTACTCTTTGTTGTATTTTTAGTTGCAAGGACTGTCCTTAAAGTTAGATGAAAATGAAATTACTGAATAAACTATCTTAGTTGGATCTGAAAGAAACTTTCACACCAAGCGGTAACACCATTCAGCTACTTTTTAAATATGATCCCTTTGAAAATCAGTTTTTGAAGCGGTTTGTTGGCTATCCCTTCCTCGAAAACACTGTCTTCAAGAGAATTCAGTCAATCCTGGACCTCTGCCGTAGTGACATCATCGTCAGTGAACCTCATACAGTCAGGCTGAATGTAACTTCAGGGGCCCGAAAAAATGAAAACATTATAAAGAAAGGTCAGGAATATCCGCAAAATGCTGTAATGCCTTGATAAATATCTGTCTGTCTGTCTGTCTGTCTGTTTGTCTGTCTGTTTGTCTGTCTGTCTGTCTGTCTGTCTGTCACTCTCCTCCCTCTCTCTCTCT